TACGGTGCCTCCCCGGGCTTCGGAAAGGAGCCGGCGCCCCCTGTGGCGGTCTGGAAAGGACACTCCTTCAACACCATCTCCGGCCGAGAAGCAGAGAAATTCAGTGGCAAAGATAGCGGCAAAGGGGACAGTGATTTCAACGACAGCGATTCCGACATTAGCGGGGACGCTCTGAAAAAGGACCTCATCAACCATATGCAGAGTGGTGAGGACTCTTCCTTCCTGCCGAGTTCAGCATTCCTCCTCGCCCTCCCCTTTTGCCGCCCCTTCCCCTTCTCCATCTCCGTCCCCAGGCCACCGTCCTCTTCCCCACTTTTTTTCAGTCCTAGAGTTCCGGATCCAGCCAGGCCTCGCGGTGAATTTCAAAACGCCTAGTCGAGGCAGCGCCATCACTTGCATTAAGCGCAGCCCTACCCTGGTAGGAGGAGACGGGGCGACGCTCGCTATCTGAGGAGGGGAATTCTGCTTATCTTTTTTGAGCCAACTTGGAGTTAGGTGACTTTACAGGAAGCAGCATCCCTTCCAAATCTTGAGTCACTGGCGTTCATCTTCACCCAGGCTCTTTCCTTGTCAGCCACCCTGACCCTGTCTGACATTCTGAAGATGGAAGCGGAAATGCGTAGTAATCTCAGTAACAGTCATTGTGCTCTCTCCCTTTCTCTTTACGCTAGGGCTGTGGGCGTGCACTGCTGAGTGTAAGATCCTGGGCCACTCTGACCGCTGCTGGAGTCCTTCATGTGGAGGGCCCAACACCCATCCCTCGCCTCACCCGGCAGCCCAGATGTCAACCTTCTGCAAGAGCACGTCGCTGCCTCGGGATCCTCTGCGCAGGGACAATTACTACCAGGCCCAGCTGCCCAAGACAGTGGGGCTGCAGAGCGTCTATGAGAAAGTGCTGCACAGGGACTACGACAGGACAGTCACTCTGCTCTCCCCTCCTCGTCCAGGGAGGCTCCCAGACTTGCAGGAGATTGGGGTACCCCTCTACCAGTCCTCCCCTGGCAGGTACCTGTCCCCAAAGAAGGAAGCCAATGAAAACGTGTAATCCCGCGCTGCATGTCTTCACACATACACACTCTGAGAAGTCCCTAAGTTATTGACCGGTTTCAGTGTTGTATATATAAATATGCAAGATGTGCCTTAAAATGAAGTTGTTGGAAGCTATTTCCAATCACATTGGTACTGTTTGGTATTTGCAAACAAAAACGTAGTTAATGTAATTTTTATGAAATGTGTGCCGTATTTCATTTTTCTTATCATGCTACCGACTTTCATTTCGCTTCCAGCTTGCCATTTTCTTAGTGTTTTTAACCTGTACATTGTGAATGTAATGTTTGTATATAATGAAATTTTGTTCTATTTTTATATAATAAAAGCTAAAGTGGAAGTTATTGCCAAAGGAAATGTCTGTAAGACAAAAAAAAAAAAAAAAACAACATGTTGGAATTACTTAATGGAAATTTATCTTTCACCTGAAACAACCTAGTGTTTGAGAAGTTTTGCCTTGCCAAGTATAACTTGTATATCTTGAGTCTGTGGTAGATTTCAGGTTCAATGTTATTTAATTCTATTTGGTTTTCTGTAAACCGTGTCACTTAATAAGCACAGTAATAAAGGATTTGTCATGCGTTTGAAGAATCTAATTGCTTTTCATGAAGTCGCCTACGGTCAGACATTCACAAATAATTTGAATATCAGAATTAAACTTTTCAAGGGCTAATTATTTGGGCATTATTAATGTTCACGGCAACATTAAATCTGTGAGAAAGTCTCATCAAAGTATTAAAAATATTTGTTGATTTTGTAAAACACGTACATCTCCATAAATATTAGGAACTCTATAAAATTCCTATTCTCATGTATTCACTCAACAAATATTTATGGAGCATCTCCCATAAAGTCAAGGAAGGCTGTTTGGGCTATTCATTCACTAATTCAACAAGCATCGGTAGAGATTTTTACTAACTTCAACTAGTAACTCCTTTAAAAGCTGGGGTTCGAGGTTAAGAAGACATAGTCCCAAGGAACTCTTAGCATATTAGGGATTTTAATATCACAAAGAAACTCAGATATATGGGTGAAAATGACATGATGCTTGGAATTTGCTTTAAAATATGAAAAACTACAAGGAGGCTATATGAAATAAGATTGATAAAATATTGATCATTGTCAATGCTGGCATGGGCAAGTGTATGGGAAGGGAGGAGAGTTAATTACACCAATCTGTGTGTTTGTGTTTGAAAATGTATGTCATGGAAGGTTTTTAAGAAGACTACGCATTCATTTCATTTGAAATTAAAATGATAATAATGAGAGCTAACCTTTACCGAACAAGCTTTTATATGAGCAGAGCTACTCCAAAGCACTCTGTATGAATTATCTCATTTAATCCCCCAAATTATCCCCATGAGATGGGAACTATTATTAGCTCCATTTCATAGACTTAAAAAAAAAAAAACAAGGCACAGTGAGGTCAGGTAAAATGCCCAAAGTCACACAGCTAGTAAATGGCCAGGATGAAATTCATACCCAAATTAATCAAGGCAAGAAAATAAAATGAAGCAACTAAAGTTTTCTGGTTTTTTACTTAGAGTGTTATGTGGAAAAGTCCCAATGCGTTGCCTTTACTGCTTGATTATTGTTCAGCTCTTTACATCTGAAGTGTCTGTGATCCTTTATTACTCATTACAGAGTGTGAGGCTCTGGAATAATAGAGAAGCCCTCAAAGCTGCCTGTTGAAGTCATAATGAAAACCAGTGGTGGCTCCGAGCTGAACAGCAGGGTGGACACACACAAGTGCTTTGCCACCCACAGCCTGTGCAAAGTTCAGTAGTTTCTACAGGCAACTGAGCTGAATGTGCCCCCTGTCAAGCTCAGACTGCCCAGACCTCAACTTCTGAAAGAGACCGCTGGATGTGGCCAGCTTCCCAGACAGCTCCAGAGCCGTGATGACCAGCCCCAAGGGAGCAGACCTTCTATTCTAACATCTAAAGCTCTATTCTTGAGAAGTCCCATCAAACGCAGAACAGCAGAACGATAATCCCCTGGTGCAATCTAAAAGTGCCTAATCTCTGATGATGTTTGCCTACTTTTGTCCTTCAAAAGTAATATAATGTCACTGTCATTATTTTATTTTGTACTGTGCAAACTTTCATTACTCCAAAATTTTTCAAAACTTCTGTGACTTCACTGGTATATGTTTTCCTTAGAGAAATGACCATTATTTTTCCTTGGAACTTAAAAAAAAAAAAAAACATCAAACACACAATTTAGTTCTTAGAGTTGTTTGTTTAAACAGGAAAAAGGAGTAGGGAGAGCTTGTCTGAGGGTCAGCAGCAGGAACTCTCAGAGAAACAGGAGCTAGATGAAAGAGGCTTTCTGCTTTTCTCCAGAAATGTTTATTCTCAAGTACGTTCTTAAGAAAATATATTTCTTAGGTAAATACCACATGATCTCACCTATATGTGGAATCTAAAGAACAAAATAAACGAACAAACAAAACAGAAACAGACTCATAGACACAGAGAACAAACTGACGGTTGCTGGATGGGAGAGGGGTGAGGGGGTTGGGTGGAAAAGGTGAAGGGCTGAGGACGTACAGACCGGTAGTTACCAAATAGTCACGGGGATGTAAAGTACAGCACAGGGAATAGAGTCAATAATATTGTAATATCCATGTATAGTGCCAGGTGGGTACTATACTAATTGGGGGGATCACTTCATAAGTTATATAAATGTCTAACCACTATGCTGTACACCTAAAACTAATATAAAATAATATTAGATGTCAACTGTAATTGAAAATTTAAAAAAAAAAGAAAATATACTTCTTCATTAAATTAAACGAGGTACTGTCGATGCAGAATACATAGAATACTTGTCCATAGAATAGGACAATGCCTGGCCTGTAGCACTATCTGCTACGTTCTATCTTCCTCATTCCTGTCTTCCTTTGGAGCCAGCCTCTACTCTAACCGGCCCCCCCTCTCCCCCACTGCTGGTGCAGCCCTTCCAGTAAGGAAGCTGAACAGACTCAGGACGTCCCGTCTTGTTCTGACACTGGTTTGCTGTCTTCACTTCTTCTGCTTTCTCTCCTGTTTAGACGACACTCTATACAAGGATGGCTAAAAGGAGCATCGCAGGCCAACTTACCAGCCTGAGACATTTGTGATGGCACCACAAATACCCCTTTTGAAGATGGAGATGGAGGCCAACGACCCTTGGGCACCTTGGCTGGGACACAGGAAGGCCCTCGGGGAAGTGGGAGGTCACCTTGAAAGAGAGAGCTAAAGCCTGACTTTACCTGTTTCACAATTTTATGTCTGGCCCCATTGACTTGGATGTTCTGTGCTTCCTATAATAAAATAGCCATCAAAGAAACCACTTCAGAAAATTAAAATGTAAGTGGTTTCAACATCTACTGAAAAATGCATTCTGAAATAAAGCGAAAACAGGATGCACGTCTCCAAATACAAATATATATGCACATGGAAAGAAAAAAAATATATACAATCAGGATGAGTTCCATGCCATAATTAGCCAAATAGCTGGCTTATCTCACTTGGCAAATATAAGCTTTTATCATCTGAAAATTCCATTTTAGTAAACAAGCATATTCTCTTTAGTACTGAATTCAGTAACAGTAAGATAATTGGAATGCTGTAAGTTTTGAAAGCAAACCGAAGCAAAGAAATACAATACTCGATGGGGCACTGCGCTTCGCGACAACTCAGAAGAGCTTCGAAAATGCCATTTCATTTTCAACAGCTATACAATAACTCAAGAGAGTATTTATCATTCCCTTTCTTCAGAGGGAAATCATCTGCGAGGGAATCCACCCATGAGTTCAAAGTCACCTAATAAGTGAACAGCGGGGAGAAAGAGACAACAGGCTGTTTTAAAAGTCATCCCTTGAAGCACCAGAGTAAACGTGCTCTTGCAGCCAGCGAGAGAATCTTCCCTAGTTATCTGCACACAGGCTCGACCTCCGCAAAACTCAGTTAAAGAATCTCAACAGGTCAACGTGAAACTCGCACAGTTCAACGCAGAATTAGAGAAATTTCATTTGCCAGCCCAGTAGGGCCCTCGGCCAATATCACAGACACTTCGAGCTCAGCACGTCCAGATCAAAATCACCCTCCCTACTCTGCCACCGTTGTCCCCACAGACGGACTGTCCCTCCAGCAACTGTTTTCAACTCAGAAAATGGGACAGCGGTCTTCAGACCAAACCCCAAACAGAGTCGTTGTTGAAGACTCCACCGTGTTTCCCACTTCCGCTCATCAAGGTCTATGGATTCCATTTTCTAAATATTGTTTCATCGTGTCCCTCCCTTCACTCCACTGTAGCAAATCCGACGCTCTGCCGCATCCCCACCGCCAGCCTCCGGGTTCACCTCGGCAGCGGCGGGCACTTCCGTTCGCTCCACGACAGACTCCACCTCAGCATCCGTCTTTGCTGCCTCAGAAATGCTGAAGACCTGGGGAACCCCAATGTCGAGGCTACAGAACCTTGTTCGGCCTGCACACAGAGCAGTCCGGAAGTCCTGGGAATTTCAGACCCGCAGAGCCAACCCTCAGACAATGAAGGACAAGTATTGCTGGATAAATACCCTCATTTTCCCGTCCCATAGGGAGACGATTTGGAGCTGTGTTCTAAACAGTTCCCCCGAGGGTCCCAAGTGGATTCGCGCCCCGGTCGCCCCCAGCAGCGACCCGCTCAGTAGCATCCTTCGCTGGCCTTCCTTGTTCCCACCTCACTTTCCTCACTCGGTCACTGTGCTTCCCGGGTTCACTGGCACCTGTGTCTTTTCAGTGCCTGTTTCTAGGGGGACTGTCCCAATCACGATGGCTGCACAAGCACAAGAATAAGGCTGTCACTTGTCGGTGATTACTGCATTCCAGGCACCGTACCAAGCACTTACAGTTAATGCTCACAACCTCGCCAGATAAGTGCTCGTTAAACCATCTTACATCTGGGGAGAGGAAAACTGCAGAGGTAACTTACCAGAGGTCGCGCAGTTAATATTAGGAGGAGGAGCTGGGA